TTTCAGTCAGCAACGTCCACTTCTAAGAATTTAAACGAAGAGAATGATAAAAATATTGTCACAAACATTCATGAACAACGGTGATCATCACAGCTGTTATTTATAATTATGAACACTTGCAGGAAAGCAAAATTATAGCAGTAGGGGTTTGGAAATGATTTAGTTGTTGAGATCGTAATTCTCCCTGGTACATGTTACCCTAGAATAAGTGAAATTGCCAGCTTTAAAAACGATACACAGTCTTCAATTTTGTAAACACCAAATATGTGCAGTTTTGTAAAAGACTTAAGATATGCACTAAATATGAATGTTTTTCATCATCCATGTGCCATTTGTTCTTTTTGTTTTTCTGTACAGAGAAACCTTCTTATCTCTCTTATCTCTGTCAGAATAAATGTTTCTTACAACAGGAAATTAGACTGAAAACCAGTAGGCATGAGGGGGGCTCGGGCTTCCTGCTCCCCCACCGCACCCCTGTTCTTGCTGCTGGTGCCGGTGGAGAGCTCTTCTCGCCCTCACCTTCCTGGGGGCTGTCTCGCAGGGACTGTGCCCCTGGTGACCTGAGGGGTGTTAATTACCTAACACTTTTCAAAGGGAAAGTATTTCATGGGAGAATTCGTCTGGAATTCTGTTGGAGGCATCTTGGAGAAACAGCTGCGTGTAAATAAAGCCACAGTCACAATGCAGGCCAGAGGGCCCAGCACTATCCCAGAATCTGGGGGGTGGGGGCGGGGCGGGGGTGCGGCTGCCTCTCTCGCCCCTGCCCTGGGACATGGCCACTCTTTGGTGTCAGCTGGTGCAGTGCGTGGTGATGGGGCTGGCATTGAACCCCTGCAGGTCTTTGGGAGCTTGTCCTGGCGGTGAGTGGTTAATGCCAAGGCCCCCTCAGGAGCCTAAACCCATTATTTTCCAAACCAGGTCAGTGACTCCAGAAGACCCAGAAGCCGGGTCTGGTCCGAGGGGATGGCCAGAGGGAGCCCGTTTGCAATGTCCCATGGCCAGGATGGGTCTGGCTGGCCGGTCCCCGTGTCTAAACATGTAGCCTTGGGTCCCAGGGTCTGTCTGCAGCTCCGCCCAGCACCATCCATGCAGGGGGTAGACCCAGACCCTCTCCTGCCTCGTGTCTGCTCCGCGCAGCTGCTCGTCCTGGGCGCCCACCAGGTTCTTCTCTCCCAGCGTGGCCACCCTGTTGGCCGTGGGTCCTGCCTGCTGCAGGCTCCTCTGGGAATGGCCCAGCCACCATGCTCCTCTGAAACCCTCCCTCACTTCCAGAGACCTGGGCCCCGGGCCTCACCCAAGCCCCTGCTGTGGTCACCCGGGCTGCAGGTGTCCTCTCGGGTGTCTCAGCCGTGGACCCAGTGCCTCCTTCTGTCTTCGTCTCCTTCCCAGAGGCCGAGTGCGTGGTGGGCCTGCGCCAGCCCTTCCTCACAGAATACCTAGAACCTCACACAGATGCACCGAGCAACGATTTCTTCCATCTTCCTCTCTTCCAACTTCCTTCCTTCTAGGAACAAATGTGATCTTTGATCACTGGGTTTTCCCCTAAACATTACTGAGCTGTGCCGTCAGAATTCAGACTTCAGGTACCTCAAGGAAACGAGGTTCTGTTTAGCAGCAGAGAAGAGAAAGGCTACATGCAGGCTAAGTGGCTAATCCGCCAAGAATAGGAATGAGATGAATGTACTTTGAATCCTTTTTAAAAAGAAAAAGCAATGTCTTCATTGAGTAAGTTCTACCCCACCCTCGCCAAGAGTCACGTGGCCCACGAGGCGGCCATGCATGTGGCCCGAGTCCCTTGTTCTGTGAAGTTTCCCATCCGCGAGCCCAGCAGTGTTGATTAACGTGTGTCTCTGTCCCGCGTTTAGTTTATTCAGAACCTGAACCAGCTCCAGGACGGCACCTTTCTCTTCAGGCGATTTCAGAGTGGTGCTCTCCATCTTGGGAGTGGGTGATCTCTGGGTGTGAGTGTCCGGGGACGTCGGTAGCCAGGGGTCATTGTTGCTTAGATCTATTAATTTATTCTTTTTTTTTTTTTTTTTTTTTTTTGAGATAGAGCCTCACTCTGTCACCGAGGCTGGAGTGCAGTGGTGCAATCTCAGCCCACTTCAACCACTGTCTCCTGGGTTCAAGCAGTTCTCCTGCCTCAGCCTCCCGAGTAGCTGGGATTACAGGCACACACCACCACATCTGGCTAATTTTTGTATTTTTAGTAGAGACGAGGTTTCACCATGTTGGCCAAGCTGGTCTCGAACTCCTGACCTCTGGTGATTCACCCGCCTCAGCTTCCCAAAGTGCTGAGATTACAGGTGTGTGAGCCACTGCGCCTGGCCAATTTATTCTTAAGAATTGCAGATGTTCTCATTCTGTCATTTCTTTTTTTTTATTTGCTGGAACTCAGCTAATAAATATCCCCATGTATATTTTATATACTTCTTTTCTTATATAAATGGCTGTGTCTGTGTCTCTGTGTGACTGTGTGTGTGTCATGTGTCTGTGTGTGTGTCTGTGGTGTTTCTCTGTGTGTGTCTGTATGTATGGGGTGTGTCTGTGTGTGATTGTGTCTGTGGTGTATCTCTGTGTCTGCATGGGGTGTGTCTGTGTGTGATTGTGTGTATCTCTGTGTCTGAGAGGCTGATGTCCATGTCTGATGGTCACTCCAGCCTGAGAATGGTGAGCTGCTGTCAGTGCAGACTTTCGTCACTTGTGTCTCATGCGTGAGTTTGAGCTGCTTCTCATTTATGTTTTTATCTTTGCCCATATTTTAGCTGGGTTGCTAATCTTTTAATGTTTTCTCTGCGCTTTTTATAAATTAGGGAGTTTAGCTGTAGTGATTTGATTTGAAAGTATTTTTTCTCAAATCGTCATTGTCTTGACTTTCCTTTTTTTTTTCTTTTGCCACTTCAAATATGTAGTTGAATCTCAGTATTTGGGGGCTTCTGGTTTTTGAGTCATAGTTTAAAAGGTCTTCTTATACTGAGGTTATAAAGGAATTCACTCATTTTTTTCCTAGTATTTTATTTCCCTTTAAACCTTTGACCCACTTGGATTGGTTTTGTTGTATGGTGTCAAGTATGGATCGAAGTTTGCTTTTCTGGCCTGGAGATCCTAACACTGTTTATTAAAATCTCCATGTTGACTGGGCGCGGTGGCTCATGCCTGTAATCCCAGCACTTTGGGAGGCCAAGGCAGGTGGATTACAAGGTCAGATCGAGACCATCCTGGCTAACACAGTGAAATCCTGTCTGTACTAAAAATACCAAAAATTAGCCGGGCAT